CACCACCATTTTTAGGGAAGAATCCACTTCCACATTTCCCATCTTTCCAAACCCCACCACCACCATTTTAAGGAAAAACCTGTCTCCATTGGGAATGCATTTCCCATTTTTCCACCCCTTGGAAAACCCCATTCCCGACATTCCCGGCTCCTCACCGGCGGAGATGGTGTCCAACATCTTCTTCCACACGTTGTACTGCAGCGATCCCAGGTATTTGGCCACATCCAGGAGCAATCCCGAGGGAACAGCCTCCGGCTCCTCGGCCGTGCAGGCAATCCTGGAGCAAGGAATGACCGCGGAGAAAAAATCGGGATGAAGCACTCGGCATGTCCCAAGTTTATCCTCCCTCAAATTCCCACAAAATCTGGGATTTAACGCTTCCCACAAACCCCGAAAATTCCGCTTTGTGCCCCCGCCATCCTGCCTGGAACACCCAGGAGACGCTGGAATTTTTGTGGAGCAGGGACTTCAGCCACTGGGAAGGGCTCAGCCATTCCCAAATTCCCATGGATTTGGGAATTCCATGGATATGGGAATATATGACGGGATCAGGACCTACCTCCGCTTGCGGTTCTTGTGGGTCTGGAAAAGAAAAGAAAAATAGGGATCAGATCCTGGATGCTGCTGGAATTCCATGGATCACATGGGGGAGGTGGAAGTGGGATCCTGGTGGGAATTACGGTGGGGATTGTGGGAATTACCACCGAGAATGTGGGAATTACCACTGGGAATGTGGGAATTACCATGGGGAATGTGGGAATTACCATGGGGAATGTGGGAATTACCATGGAGAAATGTGGGAATTACCATTGGGAATGTGGGAATTACCATGGGGAAATGTGGGAATTACCATTGGGAATGTGGGAAATACCATTGGGGAATATGGGAATTACCATAGGATATGTGGAAATTACTGTGGGGTATGTGGGAATTACCATGGAAAATATTGGAATTACCATGGAGAAATGTGGGAATTACCAAGGGGAATGTGGAAATTACCATGGGGAAATGTGAGAATTACCATTGGGAATGTGGGAATTACCATTGGGAACGTGGGAATTACCACTGGGAATGTGGGAATTACCATGGGGAAATGTGGGAATTACCATGCAGAAATGTGGGAATTACCATGGAGAAATGTGGGAATTACCACTGGGAATGCCAGAATTACCACTGGAAATATGGGAATTACCATGGTGATTGTGGGAATTACCATTGGGGAATGTGGGAATTACCATTGGGGAATGTGGAAATTACTGTGGGGAATGTGGGAATTACCACAGAAAATATTGGAATTACCATGGTGACTGTGGGAATTACCATCAGGAACGTGGGAATTACCACCGGGAATGTGGGAATTACAATGGGGAAATGTGGGAATTACCACTGGGAATGTGGGAATTACCATGGGGAATGTGGAAATTACCACTGGGAATGTGGGAATTACCACCAGAAATGTGGGAATTACCACTGGGAATGTGGGAATTACCATGGAGAAATGTGGGAATT